CCACCAAGACGTTTGCTAAGCCGCTCCACCAAGTAAGGACAGTTTACGTTAAAATGCGCGCGTTTTCTGTGACTTTGTAAACTTAAGAAGGTTTATTTAAGACCAGATTATTCCAGGTCATAAATATAAGGCTATAATGACTTTCAAACCTGCAAGAATGGCAATGTGTTAATTTGTTAGTGTGTATGCATGGGACATGCACTGTGTGTATTTTAAGCTTAGGCTTGTTTGTTTGTTTTTGTTCAAATGACACATGCCCTTCACTGCTGATTCGAACATTCAACCCGTACATATCCCCATGCATCTGATCCGATCATTCTTAAGCCAGAATGGTAGAGCCTACTATTGTTGTTTACCTTGGACCCCCCTCCCATAAACGAGACAATTCAAACTTTCCCACTTGAAGAAAAACGTTCAAAGTACTGCACCCCCCCCCCCTCCTTAAGAAAAAACAATTTTTTTCCACACATCAAACAATGCCTATGGGACAGCCCCCTCAGAAGTAACTTTCATCCCCTCCTCCCAGAAAATCTTTTCAATGGAGATATTGTGTAAATAATATGGAGTGGCCTGTTGTCATTGCGTTTCAGTTCATTTCTAGATCCATAGTAGGGGTGGCGGGCGGGAGGTGTTGAGCTGAAATATTTTTCAGTCAACTGAATCGGGTGCTCCCTCAGTCCGAGCACCAACCTCCCTCCATCACTTTTTACCTCCCAGTGGATCTGTGCCTGATAATAGCTTGTGAAGTAGATTTGAGATGCAGCAATGCAGAAAAATTTGAGGGCATAAATGGGTAGTGCATATAAAGCCAGCAAGAGTTTAGTCCCCATCACTCGTAGTCTCCCACCCTAAGAGCATCTGCAAAGAAGACTACATCACTTGTTCCTCAAGTAATTGACTAAAAGACTGTCTTGGTTTATGAGCAAATTCTTAGAACTGACTTTCCAAGAAATCTGTTGCAAGTGCAGAGAAGTGAAATTTTGAGGAGCTTGGACTCATGCTAAGATTTTAAATAGAGCCTGATTTACCTGAACTGTAATTCTTCAGTATTAATGAGTATTTATTTAACTGTTTTCCTTTGCAGTGGTAAAGAAAAAGGACAGTGTAAGAAACGTTTCCACTGCCATTTCCAATTACCCCTGCCAGAACAAATCATAATTTTTAGTCGTGGAAAGTGGGAACCAGACTTCAAAGGACAAGAAATTATTGCAGAGGTTTCTATTGATGCAGAGATTCCACCCCAGAAGATAGGAAGTCTAACAAGCAGAAACAAAGTGTTCTGTTGGGATGAAGGCTGGACAACCAAGTTTTTAAAAAGAAGTGAACAACTTTGTGAAGAGGTATATTATCATTAGTCTGTCCACACACCCTCTAT